TTCACGAACAACTTCATGTGGCGCAGTTTGCCAAGATTTCGTGAGGGAATGAAACTTTTCCTATCATGAATGTATACAAAGATGCGAAATACTTTTTTAATAATGAGGTCACAGTAGAAAGTAATCACTATGTCTAGTGGTAAATGTTCAGCCTCCTGCAATTGCTTTCGAGTCTTCTTTTTTTTCCAACTAGATATGACTATGTAAAGATATTCGATGGTCCAGATGGTACGGCTCAACGCTTGGGTGAATATTGCGGCCGAAAAGTACGTTACAAGATAGCAGTCACAAGTAGGATCTTAGAAAACGGATCTTAAAAGTTTCAATATTCTCACCTGCAAATATTAACAAGCAGGCGTCCTAAATTTAACTGATTTTTTGTGCACTGAGTTATGTGTCTGATTGGGAGAAAACAATGTAAACAACCAACTTTAACTAATTAAATCGTGCTTTAGTTGCCTCACGACTCCTACGCTGCATCTGGAAGCATGCACATTCAATTCTACACCGACGACACCATCAGTGGCAAAGGATTCCACGCCCAATACCAGCTAGTGCCCAACGGAGCAGTAGCCAATCAAAATCAGCTAAGCCTCTCACCAATCGTCAAGCTACCGAACTCCCCACCCTCCTTCTATCGTTCTGAACAGCCTGCTTACAGGCATCGACGCCAGTCGGTACGCACTCCTCCCCGAGCTAGAGCACCTTTCCATGGAAGTCGCTATATCTCGGGCATCCATCGCACTTCACCATGGGTGAGCCAGAAGACCCTCTATGGAAATTACCGACCACCTGCCGTGGAGACATCACGTCAACTACGAGTTTGGAGAGTACCTTACCGACCGCCTCAACCACCGACACAAACGGTACGGACTCGGACTCGAATCTACAATCCTCACGCAGGCTGGAGTGCTAACGATTATCGTCGAATGCATCCCCAACTAAGGACTGATGTTGAATATGGCATTCATGAGGTGGGAGGATTGATAAGCAGTTATCTCCCGGCCACTACGAACCCTCGAAATCAACAACATCAGAGGGAATTTATTTCTCCAGGTGCCACCGTGAATACCTCTTATCGTCGCATTTCTACATCCTGACAATAGGATAGCATGGAACGCTTGACTGATTTCACCAAAACGAAGTGACATTCGCCATAGAAGATGACGTGGTTTT